AGAATACTAAGTTTTAGGTGAAGAAACATGATTCATAGATAGCAAAAACTACAAGTTATCTTATTGCGTTTTGAATTTTCGCTGAAAGTCCACCATGAGAAAAGTACAACTAATTACAAAGCGGTCAGTACTTTCCCATCCGCCACAAATTGGTTTTACGTCAGCAATAATGGTGGCCCCCGAAAGTTTTCTTAGAGGGGTGTGAAAGAAAAGCCAGCTGAAAGGCACATGGCATAAACTGGGACCAAAGGACTCAATTTTTTTTCCAAATTAACTTTCTGAAAAATTTGAGAATAATTTTGGACGAAGATATGAAGAACTTATTCGTTTCCTTTCTTGAAAATGTTGAAAGTTTCACTTTTTTAAAAATTTAACCTAATCTCAACTTTTTTCATCTCCAGCGTCCTCCATAATAAGCAGGGATGCGCGGAAGGGTTTGCTTGTTAATAGGACTAAGACAGCACTTTGTCCTAAGTTCTCGGCCTACTTACACCTAACGACTCCTAATTCTCAAAATAGAATGCTGTGGATTGAAGAGTTCAACGAATGCACTTAAGCAGACCTGACCCTCCCAAGTTATAAATTAGGCGACGAAAAATAAATACTATTCATAAAAAATTAGGAATAAAGGAGACTCATGGAAAGCTTTAGGAAAAGACAACATAATTTCAAAAATCAATTAGAAGCCAAGAAAGTGAGAGAATAAGGCAAAGCAAGATATGTAAAATACCTTAAAATACTTAAAACATCGTAGCATTTGTTAAGTACATATTCACTTATTTTGGGGAACCTTGCCCATGATTTGTGCCTACTAGCTAACTCATAACGTTTCTAAGTTTCCCAAATAATTGCGCGCTGAGGTATTGAATAAAGCTTCTGAAGCTGAGTTCTTGGCATATGAGGTCGTGCTCAATTTCACTTTCTAGCCTTTTCTCTTAACTGTGCATTCAGAAAGGACATGAATGATTCGCTCACAAAATGGTGTCATAACTTCAGTAGCAAGCTTGAATAATACATTTATAGCATGAAAACGTTCTTTCCGACATCTAGGAAAATGAAACATCGACAATAACGCGTAAAGCGAAGTCATTTTGAAGAATGCGGATTGGGTCAATCCTAGAATTGAAGTGAAAAATCAACAAATTGATGCTTGCGCTCGCTTGTTGTTTCTGCTTCGCAGGAGTGTCAAAATTGGTAAACTTGGATCTTTTTAAAATAGGATGCTTATTTTTTAGAACTTTAGGTATCAAGTAGCTAAGTAACAAATAATAGTATCCTTTTACCAGGTTCTAACCTAGGCTTATTTGATCCGCTTTTTGTATGGCATCGAATTAAAACTATTAGGTTTTGATGTAACAAATTATTAAAATGAGCCTAATTGTGGTCATTCATAGTGGAAACCTAATTTCTTAGTATGTAAGATTATTTTGAGGTTTTACAATATCGAGTTTTCGTAGAATGATGGCTTTTGAAAATATTCTGAATAAACTAATATGGAAAAATCGGTAAAAAACAGATACACTCTTCCTACCTACTCGAATTTACATTTTTATTTTGTAGAACATTTATTCTAGAAGAGACAAATTTCTTATCTTTGGTTTTTCTTACGAACACATCCAGTTCTCTTCGTTCTTCTCGCCATTGTGATAACTAGCAGTTGCCTTGCTATCATCCTATACAGGCAGGTTATCAGTTTTCAAGGCGCACTTGACCAAAAACGCAATCAGTAATAAAATAATGACGGATCTCATCATTCTGCAACATTTATCGCCTAATTTTGCTTTTTGGGTTCTTTATCTAACACGATCCTCTTCTTCTCAGTTTAAAGTTTCAATTTGATGTTTGTTATCCATTAAGTGGCAGATTTTCTTTTTAATTTATGTATCTATGAATCCAGATTAGGCCATGGAAGTGGGTAAAGAGCTTGTATTACATGCTCATGACAAAGCAATTGATGTGCTTCAACGGGTAAATCCTCTCCTGCTCACTTCAGCTACTGCTATAACCACCTATTCCTTAATTTATTTGTGGAATCTTCATAGAGATGATATAGGTACGCATAAGTTTTCAGGGAAAGCACTGCTATATTTAAATCCCCTTAATTTCCTTATGCATTTTATATTTTACTCTAAAATTATTTAGGAATAAGAAAAAGGCTAATGCGCACGCTTTTTTCGCTGATCAAGCGGGTTCCTTCCGTGAAAAAGAAGATAAACGTAAGTCATGAGCTTTTAATCTCTAAATTACACTTTGATATAGAAATTTCCTCAAAAACCAAAAAATTCAGATTCTTCTGTGCTTTTCACTCTTTCTGAATATGTCAATTTTAGGACGAAATCGCAAAAGCTGAGAAGTCCTTGCACCAAACAATTCATGAACACGATGGTA